TGCGGCTTGCCTCAAATGAAACATGGCAGCTTCTTGGTCGTACTCGTCTTCCGCGCCTTCCACGCTGAATCTTCCAAGTTCGTGATATTTCGCCAAATCCAAATGTATCTACAACCCGAGTAACGCAAAGTTAGTCCTAAAAAAGTGCCGATTACACATTACCCAAACTCAGATTACCGTATTTACTTAAGTGCAACGCGTCCTTGAAGACGGGCACCCAGGTTTTTCAATCGTGCACGTTTGATTCAATTGTATCTTTAAATAAAACGCTTACTCCACTTCGCTGACTTAAATTGCCTATAATTGCAATATTTTTCAAAAATAGGGAACCTACATTTGAATTTAGACATGAGTCGGATCTGAATTCAACCAATTTATAATTGTTTCCCTTGCAACAACGTTTTCCGATTAGAATGGTAAAAATCCGCATAAGAATCAAACATAATGACAACCCAAACTTCACTAACTTTTTGAAAAATATATTCACATAATATAAATACGAAACAAGGGGGTGGGTATTAAATTGAATTATATCATGCTAAATTAGTTTATACCCAACCCCTTGTTTCCCATGAATTTAGAAAAAAGTGAACATGGTACTCCAGTAAACATGGTACGACTGATAAGAAAATCTGATTTTTTTCAAGGGTCAACACAGAAACGAGAAGAAAAGTTTCCACCCTTTTCTTCTCACAGCACATAGCGAGAGATTTTCTATGGAAGGGAAAGATTTCGTTTCAGTGCAAAACGATATTTTCCTTAAAACCGCCCGAAAAAACGTGTTGAATCTTACGTAAACTGGATATCAAGTTTTCCTTGCGAATTCTAAGAGGGCACTCAGTATCGTACGATTTTCAACATTATTTATACGTCCTCGAAGCAGCGTTGGTGCTTCCCGAAAATAAGTAGGAAACCAACGAAATAAGGCATTAACCCATATTTTCCACAGACGCACATTCAGGAATCACTATCTCAAATCGGCATTTAGTACCTCCGTGTTCTGTCGCTAGAAATCTGAAGCTCACCTGTCCAAGGACCGAATCCTTCAATTCCTCCGGCTCTCCTTCGCCCACGCCAGGCTGTTGCAGTAAAGGCCTTGCGAAGTGGGGGAGGTTAGAGGCGTTGAAAAGTCGCACATGCAGCCAGAAAGCACGGAACGCACTGTTGTTTGCTCTTTTAAGGTCCACTAGGAAAAGCGTTGAGTTCGTAGCACTGCTGCATTCCGAGTCGACACGGCGTCGGTTGTATGCAGAGAATTTCCCAGAGGACTCCGAAGCAGACACAACGGAAGCTCCGGAAACATTGCGGGACGAACCACAACCGGAGTCTCGAGCATTGCCAGTGAAGGAGACTCGGCGAGCATTGGCTATTTTCGCTAGCGTTTCATCCTCGTCTTCTTCTTCGTCCGTCGCAAGGCCACCCTGAAAACAGAAATTTATAAGACAATAAAGCCTAAAAGTACGAAAGACGACAGAAAATATTCTTTAAAACACTCGTACTCCAAAGGAAAACTGTTCAGTAAAAGCAGTCGTGCAGGGTCAATCGATCGATTTAAGTTCAGCGCAGCAAAAGTAAACGTTTACCTTCCCATTACAAAATTCATTTCAATTTGCATTTAGTTTCAAATAACTTAATCGAATTAACATGGTCTCCGTACAAACGGATTTGACACAAAATATAAGGGCAGATCTCTAGTTTACCACCAGAAGGCGTGAGCCGGTGATTCGTCCACCTTCGAACAGGTGCCACCTGAATACATTCACGTCTTACAAATCAATGGAGGCACACCATGAGAAACAGGCGAGGGTGGAGAAAAGGAACCCTTCGGAAATGAGAAAAATATTCTGCCTCTAAAAATTGATTCCAGAATTACGCAGTGCGGGAATTTCTGCGAAATTATCCCGTATATGTCACGCAGATGCCTTTCCTTCTAAAATGTCATTCTCGTGCGATCAGTAAAATTGCCCCGCTAAAATGACTGCTCCAATTCAGGGTGCGGCCAATAATCACGTACATGCGGCTAGTACCAAAATAAGGTTCCTTTCTTTCGACTCCGACATCAGATCAAGGAATTCCGCATTCCTCCAAAAAATTAAACAACTACTCGCAGGATTCTCACCTCCATAATAGTACGAGCAACGAAGTCCTGTTCATCCTCCTCCTCCTCAAAGCTTCCAATCGAAACCACAGACGACCTTGATGATCTGAAAACGGAGTCCCCGCTAACGTGATGAGACTTGTTGGGATTAGGCATCATTTTCTGCTCGGCTTTCTGTCCGGCGTGTGGTTGGCTCATGCACCGATAAACGGCCGAATGATCGTCCTTGTGCGTCTTGTGCCCTTCAGATCCCCTGGATTCCGATTGCGACGCATCCAGAACGCATTCCGAAACGAACCTGGTTCGTCCTCCCAAAGGACGCTTCGGCACGGAGGCCGACGAGCAATAAGAGCTAGTTCGGGATCGGTTTTCCAAGAACTCGATCAAATGAGCACGTTCATAACGAGAGGGCAATTTGCAAACGGCCATTTCTCCACGCACACGGGTAGCACTGTTCTTCTGCAATGAAAATACCCAGATTAGGCAAGGACAAAAATAGAACAAGCCTTCTCATCATCCAGGAAGTCTCGGGTCACAGGATAAAAGAATAAAATTATTGAACAAGCAAAGGATTTTTTCATTACTGATGGTATTACAGATTGACTCTCCCCATTACTATATTTTTTGGTCCAATAGGTTCTCTAAAACGAAAAAAGCAACTGAATCTTTCTAGCTCCTTGACTTTCGCTATAGACGGTGTCCTAAATTTTGGTGGCTAAAACATATTTCTGTTAGTCGTGTTTGAAAAGGAGATTTTTGATATGCGCAATGGAAATGTTACAGACGTTGACGAGAAGGTTGCCTGACGATATGAATTAGCCAGCAACGATTTGGCAATTGAGTTTAAGAATTGAATCCAGCTATCTGGAGAATTTCGTCTCGGAAAAACTTGGGAAATCCGAAAGAATTCGAGTTGATGTGATGCACTAATTTCCCTACTACCCCTTTTACTCCGCGATCATTTACTTGGAGATTCCGAACGATTCAACTTTGATTTTTTTTAAAGCGAAACATTCAACACGGGACGAGGATCATCATGATTCGGATTCTGAAATTCATGAAGGGCAGGAAAAAAAGAATCACCTTAATGGAATCGTGAATCGGCGACAAACAGGCTTGCTCCTGACTCGCCAGATCAAACGGAGACAGATTCAACTTGCTGCAGATCGCATTGCAAACGTGCGAATGGAAAAAGAGACCCATGCCTCTAGTGCCCAGATTTCCATCTCCGTACTCAGTCCCAGACACGGTGTGAATCTGTGGGTCGGTGTACAAATCTCCGACGCCCTGAACATCAACAACGAGCAGCTCGTGGCCCGAACGCTCAAAAGTGAAATGCGAAAACGCGTGAGGCGTCTGGCGAAATTCATCTCCAACGAAGCCAGAGTTCGAGTTATATTTCACGTAATCGCCACCGATGAAGTGTTCCAAGTGGAACACCGGTTTGTTCGGGCGATCCACGAGTTCCACAACGTACATCTGAATGATATCGACCTGCAATACACGCCGGGACCCTTGTTAATTCAACACTATTTACAGTAAGATGTCAATCAGCAGTAAATCTGCACGATTCTATTACGATTCGGAAATCGGGAATGGCAAGTGGGCATTTGTATCGACATTTAACGAGCCACAGATGCAATTCGCTTTGCGTGAATAAAAAACCATGTTTCAAGCTTCAAAAGGCTTGTCAGCTTCATCAAAATTTAGATTTACATGACAGATGCATCGAGACACTTGACAGGTAAATTTCTCAACGAAAGTCTTACTTAAATTGAATAAAAATAAACTTCCTTAGGCGTCAATATCAACGCTTGAAACCCTAACCTTCTTCGGAGGATTATGTCGATTGAATTCCTCTCCCCACAATTTCGCATCCATTTGCAGTTTTACATCTTCGAAGTAAACAGATCGGTCGACTGGTTCCATGTATCTTTTGGCCACGTAATTGTTGGATTCTTTGCCCCAGTCCTGGTGCTTCAGAAAATTGCTCAACTTCTTCCTGGGTACCGAAATGAAAAATGTCAATACGGCACCATAATCAGAAAGAAGGATGTAACGTACATTCTAAAACATTCTCGCATGGCTCCCCGATTGAAAGAATTCGGCTCCATTTTCACCACTACATCGTCTTCAACCCAAATCTTCTTGAGAGCATTGTATCTGTAGCGCTTCGCTTTTTCAACCGGATAATCGTTCAAATGAAATTTCTCCCAAGGATCCCCGAGAGCACGAGCCTGGAGAGAAAAATGATTCAATATTAAAATTGCACTCAAATACCTCGATAAATTCTCCACTCACTTTGGCAGCCGCCTTGCGCCAGTATTCCCGAGTAGAATAAGTTCTTTGGCGCTGCGGTGGCTTTGGGCTCGGAACTTTGGCAAACTTAATCCCCATAGCGACTGAAAATATCTTGGAATCTTTGTGTCGCTCGAAAGAGTCCTCATGTCCGCTGTCATCTTCACTATCTCGCTGAGTCCTACAAAGAAATCACACAGGCTGAAACAGTCGAGTGAACATAACTTCGGATAACACCCACTCACCCTTGACGAGAAATATCCGCAAGGGACAGCGGATCCATGATCATGGACTCGATATCATCGTCAATGCTTCCTCGGCTTTGTCGCCAGGTTTCATTCATCTCGACAACGACTGCTTCCATCATTACAAGTAGTATTTCTCAAAAATTCGTCAAACGAGGAAATTCCAAAACGGAAGGCGTTCAAGATTCGCCCTTCAACGGACGCGGAGCGTGAGTGTCTTGGGCGAGGATCAGATTCTTGAGGGATAGGTGGTTAGTGCATCGCATGGATTTCCGGAAATGAAAGATACATGGAACAACCGTTGCCGGCAGATGTCCCCTCTCAGCCATCTAATGGGAATCCCGACAGACGCAAGGGTTGAATAGGCTGTAATCGGCCGCGTACGACGCAGTAATCGCTACAACTTTTTTTCTGTACCACAATTTGCACTTTCAAGGGCAACCTGCGAACGACATAATTTAGAAATCAATCCGCTACCTGCACCACTCCTCAGAAATAAACGAAAGCTAAAACCTTAACGAAATTCACACCGAATGGCTGAACAGTCACGATCACGTGATAGGCACCGCTGTACCTTTTCCAACCATCGTGATGGGCAACCCACAACCCATGGGTCGTTCCACAATATTGTACGCGGTCGATGTGGAAGAAGTCCCCAAATGAACAGTAAAAAATTATTGTTCAGCGCGTTATGTACTAAGTTCAGGAAGAATACGAAGGATAGAGCTAAGACGGTTATCAACTTCTTTGATGTGCAACCAACGCACACGTACAGCATCAAGATCACGAAGGATGCACTATTCTGACTTGCAAAGCCCTGCGGCATCCCGCATCGGAACAGCTGGAACGTCGATTCAGAGCCCTCATTCCAATTGAGGCATAATCTGGGTTCATCATCGAGTAAACCCAATGAGCTCGTGCTTTAGCATAACTGTACTGTACCAAGTCCCTCGTGCGTAGTATTTCTCATAAACATTTTCCTCACGTGAACGTATTTCATCGCCTTGATGAAAGCTCTGACCAAGAGACGCTTCTCGCGCATTGAAGATAGGATTATGACAGTGCTCTATGAAAATTAATCTTTACCAACAAGAGGATAAATTATCTTCGTGCGAATTGATCAGTACTTTCTTTACCGAGCGCTTTCCGCGGAATACTTCTTTGAACTTTTCTCCTCAAATAAAAGCACTCCACCGAACACCGATAACATCTATCGCCTCCCTATATTATTCCCGATAAGCGGAAGTCAGTGGGTTCAACTGATCGCACATAACAATCAGTTAGACGAAGACCATGCGGACGGGAGGTTTCTCCCGATGTTGAATCGCGAAAGACTTCACCACAATCTCTTCATCAGTGGCGAGAGACACATTTTAATTCAGACGGACGAGCATCACGAAGTTCCAACAGTTTATCTAAGAAAATTTACCGGCTGTTCCCCCACGCTTAGCAACCGACCGGCGTTTGACTACTGCGGTCGGTGGAAACTTCGCGAATGTCTCTCTACGCCGCGAACTATCCACCCGCAATGTGCACCCTTACCCTCCTCCTCTGCAAGCCCCTCCATGCGCGCTCCCTCAATTCGTTGGGAATGACGCTCTGCGAAGCAAAAGAAAATAAAAAAGGAACAAAATAATGACCGGTACATTCAACACACACGAACATTTTCGGGATTGGAATAAAATTTGTACATATATAACCTTCGGAATTCTTCGCACGATCTTACACAGAGATTGAACTGAAAAATGTTCGCAAATAATGTTCAATATCAGTATATGTATATGCCTTTTATGCCATGATTTGATCGATTTCAATCTTCCTTTTCTCTTGACGCCGTCCTCAGAAAATATGATTGATTTGTTGTCACTCGGTGAAGAAAGAAAAGAGCGGACGAGGTTCGACATAATTTCACTGTGTTTTCCTGATTAATTTAATTCTGACTCCATTGATTAATTTTTCAATCTTCACGTTGATTTGCATCGACCAGCACCTTCCTACAAACTTATCGGCAGGGGAGAATGCATCCTGTGCAACACCTCAGTTACCATAAAAAATGAGTTCTACAAACAAAATTGGTACATATTTGGTTAATTTTCAAAAGTAAATTTGGTAAAATTTTAATGTGTAAGAAAGAATCATCATATTCACTGAAATATAAGATGCGGCCTGTCGTTTCGTACCTAAACGAACCTCATCATTTTATCTACAAGGACTCCTCTTGAGGACTTGAGCCATTCTTTTTCTTAAAGGTTGAGGGTAAGCATCATTCAGTTTAGTTAAAAAATAGAGGAAAACAACTCTGAGGATTGTAATAGGGAAGCACTGGAAAGATTAGACCAAATTTTGCTATGCAGTATTTCTGCTTGGGGCTTCAATACATATACAAGTAGTTGTAAAGAATAGTCTACTGTATTGTCAAATGCTATTCTAATCAAACTTGGAGGGACCCAAAAACAAATTTTGATTCGACAGTTTTTGAGCTAGGGAAACCAACATTATAGCTGTATGATGAAATGAATAATCATAATTCATAGTAGAATTGGTGATCATCTAGGATTTAAACTGTTGGGTAATTGAGTTGAAAGGATACTTTAAACTTGAAGACAAGGGTTCATTTGCCCAATTACACACTCATTTCCTTCTGAAGAGCATCCATTTACATTTTCATAGGTTTTCTCTTGCCTGGATCCCCCAGTAGTATAGCCCAAAGGCATCCAGAAATGCAAGCTACAGTATAGATGTTTAAAAAAAAGAACATTTATGAGTTAGATACATAGATGGACTCTCTCTAAAACAATGCAAGGGAAAAAAACTCAGTGTGGAGAACTCTCATAACATGGGCAAAGATAACTCTGTGGGAACAGACAATTTCATGCTGTGGAACAAATTGTGGACAATACAGCATATTGTTGTAGTGAGAGTCCACGTTTAGGTAAATTTAAAAAAAAAGGAATTTCGACAAGGACCAAACAGAAATTTGACCTGTAGGTAGGTTTGAGCGTACAATAGGTCCAACTGTACTTTTCACAACATAATTTCACCTATAGATAGGCTGTTGAAATTGACGCAGTATGGACAGTCAGGGCTTTGACTGTGGTCAACCGCCATGTGATCCAGTCTTACAGCCCCCACACAGAAGTGCCCTTCATTGGGTTTCCTGCCCACCCTCCTCCGGTTTCCGCCCGGCATGCGCTTCACGCTTGCCACGAATGCCGGGTACACAATCAACTCACTCCTTCGGTAATACCGATGCTAGGGAGGGAGTGCTGCCACGTTTGCGTCTCGTATGTGTGTGTGTGTCTCTCAGCTGATCTAAGGGGGGCAGCATGTGGCTTGTGAGTGTGTGTGTGAGTGTGTATACCACGGATATGCTTGCTGTGTAGGACTGTAGGAGGGAATGTGGGTGGGTGGGTGGCTGGTTCATTGTGTGTACCTGTATGTGGGAAAAGTCTAGAATTCTCCAGCCGCCCTTTTTAATCTCCCATGCCTGAAGGGAAGGAAGCTCTCTCAGAGCAGGCTTCTGCAGGGGGAAGATTGAGATCCCTATAAACAGGTGGTGGACTCCCCCAAACAACAAAATTCAAGGGACCAGAATATATTTTTTTTTGGAGCGGTTTTCCCAACCTCTGGTCTGCAGACCAACCTCAGTCCACAGAAGATTTTTGCTGGTGCACAGGACATTTTCTCCAGCATAATAATTTTTCAAAATTTGCAATGAAGTCTGTTATCTTTATCTGAAATTTTGGAAAGACAATGGCCATTTGAAATAACAGAATCTGATGAAAAAAAAGCTGGCTTTTGTCCCAACAACCCTTCAGACACATTTTCACCTGCTGAAATACATTATTTTAGTTTTTTATTCTCAGAAACCTTTCTTCAAGCCCTTCTTTATAATTTTTGAATACATTCCACTATAGCTGCTTCATTGATTCTCAACTTACTTTATGCAAAGGAAGCATAAACTGTTGATATATTGTACCTGTACTTTTGAAATACTGAAGTTGTTCAAAGAAAACTTTTTTGAGTCTGCATACATTTTATCAAACTTCGCCAATCTGCTGATTTTCGCAAGTGGAAATTTGCCAGCACGGAGAATATTTTATGGAAATTTGTCAGTCTGCAAGCCCAAAAAGCTCGGAGACATTGTTGTAGAGAACCCTATGAAACCAAAAATAAATACGAAATTGTTGAACACAGAAAACAAATTATTGCAGAGAGAGTCTACCTGTATTTGCATATAGACCAAGTTTCTCAATAACCTTTTCAACTTGAGGAGAGCTATTAAAATCAATTTACAGGATATGGTTTGCAATTTGCTGGCTTATCAAAAGAAATTCTGTTGTGTTGGGCTTCAGCCAAATGGGTGGCAAAATAAATTGAAAATTTTTCATGTTTTTCAATGCAAAAAGACAGTTTGAAATGGCCTAAGAGCACAAGGCGCGACACTGACAGAAACTCCCACAATAAGTTTAGGGAAGCTTTCTTATTTCAAAATGCATCCTCAAGTTAGGTCGCATTTTTAAAGAAATTGTTTTAAACCTATGAAAAAGTTCTGGAACGTAATCGTTGAATATTCTCTGGGGAGAGGTAGTACTGTATATAAGAAAAAAAGAGCGGATAGAAGGAAAACCCGGACATTTTTGGGGGGCCATTTTCTTCTCACCAGTTTGTCGACCCTCATTGGAAAGGTCAAGTTCGTTAAAACGCCCGGTCAAGTTAAAGATTTCAAAACCAAATAAATAAAAACGATAAATAATGCGCAGGAAATAACTCAGACGCAGCGTTTCGTACGCCACGTCGTACTCTCGTACATTCTGTTGTTGTGCCGACTCGGGCGGCACCTATTTTTCCCGAGTTAATCGGGGCATGCGCGGGCGACATCTAGTCGACCCGTGACAATAACCTTTTCAACTTGAGGAGAGCTATTAAAATCAATTTACAGGATATGGTTTGCAATTTGCTGGCTTATCAAAAGAAATTCTATTGTGTTGGGCTTTAGCCAAGTGGGTGGCAAAATGAATTGAAATTTTTTCATGTTTTTCAATGCAAAAGACAGTTTGAAATTGCTTAAGAGCACAAGGTGCGACACTGACAGAAACTCCCACAATAAGTTTAGGGAAGCTTCCTTATTTCAAAATGCATCCTCAAGTTAGGTCGCATTTTTAAAGAAATTGTTTTAAACCTATGAAAAAGTTCTGGAACGTAATCGTTGAATATTCTCTGTGGGGAGGTAGTACTGTATATAAGAAAAAAAGAGCGGATAGAGGGAAAAACCGGACATTTTTGGGAGGCCATTTTCTTCTCACCAGTTTGTCGACCCTCATTGGAAAGGTCAAGTTCGTTAAAACGCCCGGTCAAGTTAAAGATTTCAAAACCAAATAAATAAAAACGATAAATAATGCGCAGGAAATAACTCCTCAACGTCCTCAAAAAACCATTATTCTTGTTGCTAGTTGCT